CCGCTGGGCTTCCTTTTCAGTGTCTCTCTGGGAGAAACAAACAAACCACCACCCACCAGTCACTGTCAAAGAGCAGACAGAGGAAGAAGGGACTTTGCAGAAAGCAGCAAGAACATGAGCATTGTTTACGCCATCTTTTGTTTACTTTACTTCATTGTTTACTTCATCAGGGTGCCTGATAAACACAGTCTAGCAATCGTCCAAAGTAGAGCCTTTGAGACACTGTCAGAGCCAACAAGAGTCACAATGTGGGGAACGACTGATCCTTTCTGGTGGTCAAGTCAAAAATGTCACTGTCACCAATCCAATTCTGACTCCTAGTGACCCTATAGGACAGGGCAGCACTGTCCCTGGGTTCCCAAGGCTGTAAATCTCTATAAGGACAGAAAGTCTGGTCTTTCTCCCATGAAGCAGCTGGTGGTTTTGAACTGCTGCCCTCAGGTTAGCATCTTAATGCTACACCATCAAGGCTCCTTCCGCTAGGTGAGTTTCAATTGATGTAGGTCAGTGAGGTGCTGGCGAACTCTGGCAACGATGGAGAGCCTGGTACAGCCACTGCTAAGTGTAAAACAGACATTCAAGAAAGAAGTGACCAGACAGAACATGGCCCACAGGTCAGAACCACATGCGGGTGGTCCCTAGAGTCACGAGGAAATGACCTCTGACCTCCCCCCATACAAACCTGACCAGCATATGGGCATATATGAAGGGGCTAAGATCTTTCATCCCGTCCATTTCTGAGAAAGGTCTAGAACGAAAAGAACCTAGAAGACGTAACAAGTGGACGCTGTGTTACAGTAAGGTTCACTTGGATGACTACACTGGTTTCCAAGACTATACATCTTTTGAGGAGCAGAAAACCTCATCTTCCTCCCTTGGAGCTGCTGGTGGTTTTGAACTGCTAACCTTGTGGTTCGCAGCCCAACACATAATTCACTACAGCACCAAGGTCCCTTGAAGGTAAATTACACTGCAGTGCAATTTGTCCAAATATGAACAGACCTTAGATGAGCATTCACATTCAGAAATAAGAGGTATCTTTCTATAAAGGCCAATCGAAAAATAACATCTTTAAAATTTTACCCATCACTTTTGTATTTTCCTTTTCTTACCAAGGGATGTGTTTTTGCTTTTGCTTTATTCCCCAAACCATTTTATTGGGAGCTACTACAGATATCGTATCATTCAATCACATCAAGGAGTATTGCACATTTGCGACCACAATCAGTTTCAAATACTGTCTTCCTTTTTGAACTCCTTGACATCAGTTCCCCTTTACCCTACCCCACCCCACTGGGCCCCCCAGGAACCTTTATTCTACTTGCTGTCTCAATAGGTTCATCAAATGGGTTTCATAATAAACATGTTTTTTAATAAAAGAAGAAAAACTGAACTTACTGAATAATATTACTTTATCCCAGTTTTATAACAACACTCAAAAGTACTGGATTTCAACATCCAATATGCCACAAGTGACTTTTGTCCTGAAAATAATTTTCCATGAACACTATA